GTTAACATGGATGCCTGGTGGGTTAATGTGCCTTTTCATTTAGAGTGCCAGTTTTATCGCACACACTTAACTGCAGCCCCAGATGACTGAGGTTTGTTGAGGTAAAAGAGTTCATTTATGCAGCATTTTGGATCACGGTCAACAAACAAAACTTGAGAACATTCAGTCTGCTATATTGGATTCTGAAATGCCCCTGTTCAGAACAAAGGGAAGAAAGAAAACAGTCTGATTGGTGTCATAGCACACCAAGTCAAAGGTCAGGTCAAGTTTAGTGCTGGAGTGGCTGTGGTTTGCCCGAAGTGTGACCAAGAAAAAGATGAACTACATTTACAAGATAATCAATGTGTGTGTTTCCGTTGAGTGTTTTCAGATGGAAACAGGATGGAGAACAGAAGACAGTAGGAAGTGATTTTAGAGATAAGAAGCCAGCCAATAATGGGTAGACAAATGTTTGGCTGCTGCCTCACTAGTCCGAGACTGATTTGTCTAAAGGAGGATAAAGACTGAATTAATGATTAGAGAGAGAGAGCGGATATGTGTGTGTAAGAGAGGGAGAATAAAGGAGGAGGAAAGGGGGAGATGGAAAGTGGAACGGTTTGATAATGAGCAAAGGGTGGACTGAGACAGAATGAACAACACATGCGGAGAAAAATGAGGAACATGATGTATATAGAAGGAGAAAGAAAGAGGAACAGCTTGATTAAAGAAATCATGTGGTTCATGTTACGTTTCAGTTGGTAATGATGGATATGTAGAGGTAATGAGTCAAACAGTCAAGCATGATCTAGATTTACTTCTTCATCCAAATTAATTTAGCTGCATTATAAATCAGCCCTTCATCAGATGCATGAGTGTTTGTGTGAGCAAGATGGAAAGAAAAAAATTCCCATTTTTAATAGTGTTGATGATGATATTTTCAAGATATTGTTAATTATCAATTCATAAATAACATAAGAATAGGTTTTTGTGGAGTGGTATGGTATCACATTACACTTTGCAATGTGAACTAGCATTGTCTTAGGTAAAATTATCTGGAATATTAAGGGACTTGTTGACACAATCATATTACACACAGTCATGATATCATTTTTTGGCATGTTGGTTGGATGACATGGCTTTATTATTAAATATATTAAATATTAAAAAGCAGTTAAAATATATGTATATATTTATATTTTCATACTATCATTTATTTATTAATTTATTATTATGTATAATACCAAGCTTCTTAAAAAAAGTGTTCCCCTTCAAGAACTGAATTTTATTTAATTCTTATTTCTCATCATATCAGGACCATTTTATCACCCTGATATTTTTTACTTTATGTCCCTCCAAAAATATACAAGTTAATTTTATTACAGAAATTAAAGAAATCATAGAAGCTATTTGTTCATTTTATTAATGTATTTTTTAATAAATTAACATGAACATCACGTCATTGACCTATTTGTCAGTCAGTGTGTGGGTGGGTGTGTGCAGCTTTGGCTACACTTGTGAGAGTCAGATGTTCTCACAAACATAGCAAAACACATTTAAGAATCAACTTGTGAGGACTTTTGAAGTGGTCTTCACTACTTGAAAGGCTGTTAAGTTCTCAAACTAATAAAGTTGAAAGGATTGTGTGAGGTTTAGGGGTCAATTTTTGAGAAGGTTTTGGGAACATCATATAAAATTAATTGTGTCTATATACCCTTCCTAACATAACGCAACCAACATATGAGTGTGTGGCATCGTGGATGAGAGAAGGTGCGATTGTCTGTGGTGTTCCAGACGTAAGCGTGTAAACCAGTGTGCTGGTGGCATGTGTTTGGGGTTATGTGAGTCCCCGCCGGAGTGGAGTATCACTTACCCTGCTGAGTTTTTGGCAAGAAGAGTGAGAAGCAGAAAGAGAGGGAGGGAAAGTGAGAGAAATGTAAAATGATTCCTCTTTCAAAGTGCACAGAAATTTTTATGCCCTCGTTGCCAAGCACCTCTCCTTACTCCCCTCAACTCTCTCTCTTTCTCTGTCTTCTTTGTCTCTCATCCTTTTCTCCATCTTTGTCATTCCCCGTTGGGCTTTGATCTCTTTCTCTCACTTATTCTTTCCTCCTTTCACCAGGCCTGAACAAAGCAATAAAAAATGACCTAAGCACAAAAGAACAAAAGATAAGTGGGTGGGAATGAAAACGGGTAAGGCGAAGAGGGGGGAAAAGGGGGATGAGAACAGAAAAGAGGAGCGTGAGGGTGTTCGGTGTCATGGGCCACCCAGAACAGGCAAGATATTGAAAATGTTTACCAGGAAACATCAATTGAATTGCTTTGCTACTTTCCTATTTCACCTGTTTCCACACTGCTGGTTTCTCCTCAGGTCAAACGTGTGTTTTCATATGCAAGAATGCCTTTTAGCTTTGAACATAATTTCTTGATGGTGGGCACAACCCACTAAGTGGGGTATTTAGATATTCCGTTGATAACTCTTCTCTCTTGCTCACAGGCCTGCAGCTAACAAGTTAAAAAGAAAGTCAACAAAAACCTACAAAGGCAGAGGACGCTGTAAAGGAGAGATTAGGACGGCGATAAGAAGACAAATAGCTCCATTGATATGAGAGTGTAATGACTTTCGTCTGTTGTTGTTGTATGAAGAGGAACGTGCGGACATGAAGCTATTGTGTGAACACAATCGACAAGGTGTGTGATGTGTGACGCATCGCCTCGCGTTATCTCTGTCAAGTGCTTGTAATACAAGCTTCGCGCTTTGTCAACATGCAGTGAGCGCCCGCGACCCCACGGGGCTACATTCCTCTCTATAAACGGGGAAAGAAAGTCCTACAATATGGAACAACTTTGTGTGGGATGTTTAAAACTAATAATCGTAAAACTGAAGCGTGTCGGGAGGCTGTGAGTCAGAAAGTATTGTGAAGCACGGGTGAGTGATTCGGTGTTGCCAGATCTCGCAAGAAAAACAAACAGATTGGTATGGTTATGAATAATGGAAAAGGAAATTGCTTAATTTCATCAATCAACATAGGAATCATAAAAAAAAAATAGACTGCATAAAATACAAATGGCATAAGCTAGGCAAAAATGTGACAAATTATAGAGTTATTTTTCAATAGCCTAATTATTAGACCTATATATTCTTTTACAAATATAGGCCTAAATAAAATATTTTACATATACAAATGGACACTTAAATAATTAATCATATGAATGTATATATTATATATAATTATTTTTTATTATTGATAAATCATTTTATACATCTGTGGTGATTGATAATGCCAGTGTGGCTGGAATAGCAGGCTATAAAGCTACTAAATGTGGTCATATTTTATTGTCAAACATAAGTAATAGATCTTAATAAGGTTAGACGCCATATTGAATTTAACATGGATGAAAACGAGACTTAGTCTTTACAATGGTAGGCACTGTATAAAGGTCCTATAAAACACCTAATTTTCACAACTCACAACTTAATTGTTTTATGAGTTTTTGTCCACTGAAAGTTTTGTTATTTTTTCAGAAAGAAGTTTCACCAGCTAAACAGTGGATGTGTTGTTAAACCACAGAAGCCTACAATATTTTGAATGCACTGTAGGCCTATTAGCCTATTATTTTTTCACAGCCTCGTTTTCATTCCTGCCAATAATTAAATAGGGCGTTATGATGACTACCGTCTATCCCCAAAACCTATACTGTACTGTATTCTGTATAAGGCCAAAAACGGGCCGATTGTCCAGTTTGTAAACCACTTTTCAAAAATAAAAAATAAGCGTTTATAATAAGGGGACATGGCAACACCGGAGTAACTGCACAGCGCGAGCGGTCCAGGCTGTCACCCGGGTAACCTGCGTATTAAAATCTGCAGTTCGCTGTGGCGCGGAAGACCATCCATCAAAAGTAAATGGTTAACGACTTCTTTGTATGACCGTTCATCATCCAGTCTCCATGGCCCGCGTCTTCATTAGAGACCCAAACTTCGCCTCTCCACCTTTTTACCAAGCCCCTACCCCCCATGCCCGGCTCTTTTCTTCCGCTTCAACAGCAGGGGTGAGGGGGAGACTAAAGGCCCTCGGGGACGCTCCTGCAACCTCCTGGCCTCTGCTAGGTCACCTTTTGTGCCTGCTTCATTCTCTTCACTCGCGTTCTCTCGCTCCAGTCGGGATCTCTGGAATTTGCACCACCGCAGAAGACCCTCCGTGTCTCCCTCAGTCCCAAACGTGGAAGAGGATAACCACAGCGGAGACAGATCCAGTTACAAGAGTTTTGAGTGTGCTGTGATTTGTACACGAGAGAAGAGACTGAACTTGACAGAGCTCTGTTTTAAATGTTTTATGATCATATTCACATTTGTGTGTCCAACAGTTACTGGCACACAGCTTGTTTGTCTGTCACAGAGAGTGAGACATCTGTAAAATACATCCCATCTTGTTGAATGTCTATTCTATTGTATTGTATTCTATTCCATTTTTATGTTTTTAATATTGCGTGTAAAAGGCATGCCAATAATGTAACATCACCAGAGAATTGATTATCGTCACATTTTTATATTATAGATTTTTATATCCTGTATAGGCTATACCATATTTGTATGTAAATTAATTTCCGTTGTATTCATTTTATATATTACATTGTCATTTTATTTCCCCTGTATAGGCTACGCTTTGGCGATATTGTAAATGCTGATCATGCCAGTAGAGCCTATGTGTTTATGTATATATAGGAATAAAAAGATTGTAGCAATTTTTTTGCAATGTACTTTAAGAAACAAAGTCGTCTTCCTTGAAATCTTTCGGGGAATCCACGTGCAAATAAATAAATTCATACATAAAATTGAGTTCTTATGGGCGTTTTCAAACGCGCACATGTTTTAAGCGGGGCGTGGTGTGGGCGGGGCAAGACAATCATCTCGAAGTATCATTGGCTCCTTGATTTAACAGGGCAAATAGTGGGTGGAGTTTGTCGCAGAAGGGGTGTGTACGCTCACGGATTAAGCGTGATAACGGGCCCAAATTCTCGGTTCAACCTATTCACCACAGGCTATATAACGTTTGGAAGAGCTGAATGAAAGTCTGAAACCGACTTGAGAGAGCGTTAGAAGGGTAAAGGAAAGAGGAAAATCAGCTTGGCATTATCAGTGGGAACACTGCTTTCAGAATCAAAGTTGCAGGTACTTTTAAAGGGTGTCAGGTTCAAGGACTGTCACTCAGCCGCGTACCAGAGAGAATAATAGTAGGACACACTCAAAGGAACGACAGAACTCACGATGGATCGCAAAATCCCTGATTTTGCTGGTACTTGGAAAATGAAAAGCTCCGAGAACTTCGAAGAGCTTCTCAAAGCACTGGGTAAGTGTTAATCATGATGCAAGCGCCCGCAGAGAGTGCGCAAAATTGACCATCAATCCTGAATGCACGGCCATGGATTGCGCTATAGACCAACAAATTCACCACCTCTCTTGTATGTGTATGCAAAACCGTTTTAATATTCCTTCCATATAGGCTAGATAGACCTGTTCTTATGTTACTACTATTTATTTATTTTACTATCAACTATATATCCAGATAGTTAGGCTCCAGTATTTATTCTCGCTTTACCATTTAGCCTATTAGATGCAAATGACTATTTATTAGATATTGGTGTATCTTACTAAGTTTTAATAAACCCAGAAGGTAAAAAGCAATTGGCATAGATTTTAGACTGGGCAGGGTTGAGCAGAGTTTATTTCGCTTAATTTCCTTGAGCAATTATCCTGATTGGACCAAGGATCCATTCGTCCACAGTCATTTGTGTTTGGACATAAAAACGCCTCGCGCTCTCAATTTTGTGGTTCGTAAATTGTATATGTGTGTTTGGGAAAGTCAGTTCACTATAGCTGTCAATTCGGAAATTCTTGTTTAAATATTTTCCACTGTTCAAGCCAGAATCCCGGAGTTCCTGTGGGTTACAAAAAAAAAATGACTGACGTCCGATTTAACGAGGGCACCGCTGCCACCCAAACACGCCTCTTCAACAGTCTGTGTCGAACAAAAGAAGCAGATTCTCTGAGAAGGAAGAGTAGGTCCTTCATTTCACCATTCAAAAGAATGATGAAATGAAGCAGACAGGTTAAAGAGGGCGGAGAAGGAGCACAATGGAGAGAAAAAGCCCTGCTGTTTCTGACATGGGAACATGATGTATTGTATGAATACCCCAAACTGCAGGAGATGAGATCTGCATCCACACAAACCCCTCTGAGGACAAATGTCGTCGTAAAAACGAAGGGGGCGTGGCTATATGTGAGGAATGTGCATGATTGACAGATAGGTTGATTGAGGGATGAACTTTGCGACTTGCTTTAATGTTTTGCACAGACACACATGCACATTCATATTTACGCACTCTTAAAGTGCCTACCTCTTAAATTCACACACTTTCAGCAATGGGACATTAAAATTCTTTTCGCCACACAAATATTTCAGTGCACAGATTGGCCCGACCTGTCACCACACCCTGTCATCCACCCTCCTCCATCTTGTGTCCTCATCTCCATCCCTCTATTCTGAAATACTTCCTTTGACCTTTAACCTATGACACTGACCCTGACCGTCTGACTGCCCTGACATCTTTTCTCAGTTAGTTATGGGGTTTGAAGCAGTGCTTGATCTGACAGGAGTCCGTTTAACTTTATTAGCTAATGTTTTTAACAAGGTTCTGCCTGGATTACACTCTCAGAGTGTGGATATGCCTTGTAAAATTAAATTTTTTGTGTGTTTATTGCACAAATAGTGTGTAGGTTTATGTGTGCCAAAGACTTAAGCTAAAAGTCATTGGAGTAATTGACAATTTGTTTACGCGTCTCTGCCTGAACGTGTGTCTACATTTTGGCCCCCTCTTGTCTGCCTTCATGTGTATATATTTACCCTTGGTGACAGGTGGGAATGTGTGTGAGGTGAGAAGTGTGAAATTCTACTCGATGCACAGAGGCTCTCTCGCTCACACACACACACACACACACACACACACACAGACTGG